GGGGCACAGCTTCCAGGTGAGAGTTTCAGGTGAGATCTGCAGTTCCTTCAAGGTCCAGCAATAGACCACATACTGTCAGATACAGGAACCAAATCAAGCTTGATGAGATCTGTCTTACAGTCCATGGAGACCCGTCTGACATACGAGTTTGCTCATCAATAAAATGAGCTTAGTCATATATACCTCCTGTGACTGTTTTAAGAATTAACCAAGAGAATTTTGAAAAGTGTTAAAGTCTTTTTATGTCTAAGTGCCAAAAACAAATGGAAACTGTTTTCTCTTGCCTTCCCCACACTCTCTGATTTCAAGACAGGCTTATAACTTTACACCCCATTACATGAAGCTCCTTTGAAATGGCTGGAAAATTGTAACACTTGTTTCAATGGGTGGAGTGCCCGTTTCCCCTCTTAACCGCGCACTATTGGCCTGTGTGGAAGGTAGAAGGCCCATCTCCCAGGTTTATACTACCCTACAAGGACGCATTCTCCCTCCCTTTAGATTCCCATCATTAAAGGGATATCTTTTCTGTAAATACAGCTGAGACACTGTTCTTAAGAAGGTACATTTCTCATACATACTTGAGCAGGATCACTTTGTTGTCTGCAACGGTGATGTTATACAAGCAGTATATGCTGTTAGGGTAGTCCGAATACGAATAGACAGGGCTTGTGATGATCCCCATGGAGAAGTTGAACACACCCCCACAGGCTGCAACAGAAGACAGGGGATTATGCAGAGAACAGTTAGCGCTGATCGCATGGAAAAGTAATTTTGAGATATTCTTTGCTATGGTACCTTGTCCCCTAAGAGAGAGAACAATGATTTGTCTTAGAGCAACTTAAACCTCCCTTTGTTGTGTTTACAAAATAATTCTGAGTTTTCCACTGAGATTGGGGGAGCAGACGGTAAGGGAGGAGAAGCAAGGAAAACATTTTTAAGGTACCTCGTGGAATGAATAGGTTTGAGCTAAATTAATGATCAGAGTGAAAATAATGAAAAAGGACATTTCACATGTTGGGAGGTAACTGCCTTTTCTCTGTATTGAATTCACAGATTCAGAAGGATTACACTGATAAGGAAGTTTAGTAAAGGCGGGCAGAATCCAAGGCACATTGTGGGCATATAAGCCCTGGAAGATGTATGATCTAGAAATCTTAAATCTATAGTTTAGAGTCTCCTCTGTCAAAGACAGACTATTCAAAAGTGAAGTATTGGAAATCATTTTGAATGTTTGACTTTTTTCCCCTCTGTGGGCTCAAATGCACAACTCTTGGGTCCTGTGTATTTCTATTTAGTTGTGAGACTGGTAAGAACTATACTTGCCCAAATTTGTATTATTGGGACTCAACAAACAATAGGAGGCTGGGCCCACTTCCCCACTGAGTCAGCAATCGACTACCCAGAAGCCTTAGTGACTCCGATTAGTCCAAACAATGGCAACAAGAATATAATAAACCCATTACAAAAAATAAATTCTTATTTTTGCTTGGATAAGGAGGACAAGGCTGTGTCATCTAAAGATGGAAAAGTGCCCTACTCTCCATGTAGTGAGAAAGGTTTACATTTATTTTATTTTGTGATTCTACAATTAGAATGGGGTAAGAGTATTTTGATGTTATTTCTATGGCTTATATACTCTCAGTGGACATAAGAAACAAGTGGTAGGTGCCATTTAAGGCTATTTATTTATGTATGTATCTAGCCTCAGCTGAGCCCACTTTGCGGGGAAAGCTATTCTTTATATGCCCATAAGTATTTGTGTGCTAACATCCCTGAGGACATTTGTAGTGGATTAAATGTCAGATTTGTGTAGCCATTACTCCATTTCATCTCGTCCATAATTATGTGGTCTGTGAAAGCTTATCAATGCCTAAGTTTGTACATTGTCAGGATTTGAAACCTTAATATCAACAACACACTTTAAACGACACTCTCATAGTGGATATATAAAACACAGTGTTTTAGGAAAATGAGCGATTAAAGTGTAATAAAAGAATAGAAAGCAGTGCTGTAGCTCTCCAAAACAGCAGTTGTACCCAAAGAATGAAACAAATCAATCTTGTTCTTTATTGAAGAAGACAACTGGGGGAAGAAATGTTTATTGCTCAGTTCTCTTCTGTTTGTGCCAACCGATCGACAAAGCTACAGACAATAATACTTTACAAATGGGGGTCAATATTCAGGCAGCAGCTCACGTGAATGAATTGTGAAGGCCTTTTTTTCATGAGTAAGTAAACATTTTTAGTCTTCTCTGTAGATCGGAACAGTCACTTATTTGAAAGGTAATTATTTAACTTTCTACTTTTAGCAATGGCTTTGGTCAAGTAAAGATGACACAAAGGTTTTGCATGATTTGTGTGCCCATTTCACTGAAATTAGGATGGATGGTGAGGGGAAAATGCTGCCAGCAACCTAACCATCCAAGTTTAGTGCAGGAGAGGAAAAGACTATCAGAAATAGACACATATAGTCTGATGATTTTCAAATAAACACATATCAAATTATCTGTAAAGAATGAAAATATCCTGGTTGCTACAAAGACCTTTGCCCAATCTGTGACTTTGATATAGAGGAGTGCAAATTATAACATGGAGGAATACATCAATTTTTCATTTTTCTTTAAGGCATGCACTTTTTTGTATATTGTTTAAAAAAATCCATTCCTACCCAAAGATCATAAATATATTCTTTTATGTTTTTTCTAAATTAATCCAATATTGCTTTTCATATTAGCAAAATGACTTGGGAAAATGAAATCATCACCTCGACAGACCAGGCCAAAAAACATCACCTTTATGTAATATATAAAGAACTAAAGACAGCAGGAATGTTCATTTGAACTTAAATTATTAAAATAAATCTCAATCTTCCATTTGATTTTCAAAGAGTAGTTCTAGCAAAAGTTCTTGAAAAAGAACTTTTTGGACCATGAACCTAATTGACAATTTTTTCCCTTGAAGCCTCTGAATCTTCAAGTTGGTGATGTACGAATCACAATTAAAACTCCTTATGGGAATTACCCAAGAAGAAAACAAAATTCCACACTACAACATTATGGCTACTCACAGGTTATCTTATAGGAAAACTTGAATCCAAAGTCGGTGGTGTGTGAGTTAGAGTAGAAGTTAAGCAGCATAGGACCAGAGATGGTGACAGGGGATAGGGTCTCATCACCACACACAGTGGCCAAAGGCGTGGAAGCTATGCTGTAACCCCTGATGATGTGCACACCGTCGCTGTCACAACTTCCCGTCACTGCTGAGCGAGCTGTGCAAAGCGTGGGAACAACCAGAATTTAATCAGAAGCAACATAAACCATCAATGCTGTAAACATTCAAACAAAGATGTAATGAAGATTCATGCACTTTACACAGAAATGAAAAACGAGAATCAGGAGCTATTTTGCTAAGTCGTTATTGTAACTTAGCTTCTTGATGAAATGATGTTTACCTTAGTTACAAGCCAAGCACAGGTATGAGAACCCGTGGAGAACTTTACAATAGATGAATCCCACTTGGAAACAACCCAGGCTTTCTTCCTTTGTCAAATGGTTCTTTCATTCAATGATTATGAACTGGACACAGTTTTGCCTCCCAGGGACATTTGGCAATATGTGAAGATATTTTTTGCTCTCACACTGGGGTAGCTACTGACACGGATTGGGTAGAAAGAACCCCAGGGATGCTGTTGAATATGCTGCAGTGCTCAGAGCAGCCCCACACCACCTGCCCTGAAGCCACAACAAAAGTTGCCTGACTCCAAATGTCAACAGTGCTGCTGTTGGGAAACCCTGCTTTAACCTGAATTCCAATCGTGCAGAGATATCTAGTAATTCTTTAATGGTTATTGAACGCCCATTATAAATGTTCACACAAGCAATACTAACTTAAGAGTTTAGTGATTGTAAAATATATATCATTGTTTTGTTTTTTAGTTATAAAACAAATATACACTGCAACCCATCCCAAAGAGAAATAAAAAACAGAATAAACAAAAAGTTTAAAAGCCTATTATTACCACAACTTATCCAGTCGCTTTATAGTTGAATGATCCTGTTAAAGCATTAACTGGGATCATACTGAGCATGATCTTTCATGACCTAATTTTTATTAACAGAAAACAACATGACATCGTTCATTTTTATGTGATTCAATATTCTTCTAAACTGTTGAATTTAATGCACAGCTCAAATTATAACGTATAGATATGCCATACTGTGTTCAATTAATCCTCTATGCTTGATAATTCTATTTTTTCCACTTTTATGTGATTAAAAATATTGTCAAAACAAACATTCTGTACATAAATATTTGTGGAAACTTCTCATTATTTCATTGGAATAAATTTTTAGACGTTTAGTTACTCATACTATGGTAAGTTTCTTTTTCAGGTTTATCAAATGGCCCTTTGGGAAGGTATTCCTAACTCACAGCTCCATAGCACTTTAGATACCTGACATTTCCCCTAATTCTACATGTTCATCACCCTGTAGAGAGACCTTGTAGCTATTGACAATCACTCCCGTCCCCCCATCCCTCTGTATGGTTCTCCCGTCCCCCAGGCAACCATCTACTAACTTACTTTCAGTCTCTATAGATTTGTCTTTTCTGGACATGTCACATAAACAGAATCATACTAATATGTGGCCTTTTGTGACTGGCTGCTTTTACTTAACATAATGTTTTTGAGGTTCATCCATGTTGCAGCATGTGTCAGTACTTAATTCTTTCCAAGGCTGAGTGGTATTCCATTGTACGATGGACCACATTTTGTGATCACTCAGCAGTTGACGGACATTTGGGTTGTTTCTACCTTTTGGCTATTATGGATAACGTAGCCACGAACACTCATGTACAAGGTTTCATGTGGATGTATGCTTTCATTTTTCTTGGGTGTATAAGTGGAATTGCTGACTCATATGGTAACCCTATAGTTAATATTTTGAGGCCCTATCAGACTGTTTTCCAATGAGGCTGCACCATCTACTGCCCCACCAGAAATGCATGAGGGTTCCAATTTCCCACATCCTCACCAACACTTGTGATTGTCTGTCTTTTATTATAGCCATTCTTGTGGAAATGAAGTGGTAGCTCACTGTGCTTTGGATTTGCATTTCCTTATGACTAATGATGCTGCGCACCTTTTCATGTACTTATTGGCCATTTGTGTATCTTCTTTAAAGAAATGTCTGTTTAGATTCTCTGCCATTTTAAAATCGGGTTGTCTTCTATTGTTCAGTTGTAAAAGTTCTTTTACATTCTGGATACTAGCATGGTCACATGTTTTTATATCTCCTGGGTAAATACCTAGGTGTGGAATCATTGGGTCATAAATTAGGGGTGTATTTAATCCTATAAGAAGCTGCTAATCAATTCTTCCAAGTGGTTACATCTGTATAGACTCTCATCAGGAGTGTATGAGACCGCCAGTTGCTCTGCACACTTGCCAATATTTGGTACTGTCAGTCTTTTTAATTTTAGCCATTCTGGTGTGCATAAAATGCTACCTCATTGTAAATATACAGTGTAAATATTTAATTTACACTGTTCTGATAATTAATGATATGGAATACTTTCTATGTTCTCACCAACAACCACGGAGAACACTTTTACTGCATATAGATGTCAAATTGAACATATATCTAACACATCCCCCCCATTGTACTTACAGATTCCCCATTGTAACTGAATAAAACTACACTACAATTTTTATATGATTGCACACGATGACATGGTGGACTCTGAAATCAGACTGCCTGTTTGTTGTTAGAGCACTCATAAATTAAAGAAATTACGATATACATTCACTTTATAATTTCAAGTCCCCTGGCCATAGACCTTGCTTCAAGGGTGGACATGTGACCTAAATCAATTAAACTAGGGTAAATTTTAAGACCATTGTTTGGAATCTGGAATAGACAGTAGTGTGCTGGTAAATATAACCCCCAATTCTCTGATGGAAAAAATAGCCCTCATATGTAGTGTTTGCCAATTTCCATGGTATAAATACACCCCCTATAGCCAATTCCAAGCTACCAACATGAGGCCATTCAATGCAGGATTTGGAATGGAGGAGCAAGGTTGACCCTGGCAAGATGGCATAAGCCAACTCCAGCTGCCATTAGGCAGCTGCCCTGTCTCTTCCTGGATGTGCACGAGGAAGACACAATCCTGACTGTGAGGACAGCTACCCCACAGCGAGGAGAGAAGCCAGCCTTAGGGTGAGGCTCACACTTGGTTGCACAAGTGAGAACAGAAAAAGTAGAATATCCAATGACATAATTAAAATGCTATTAGATCAAGCAGATTTGAGGCACACCCAACTTTGAGATCTTCCAGAAGTAAAGCCAATAAATTGTCCTTTTATGGTTCAACCAGGTTGAATTAAGTTTCCTGTTAATTGTACCATAAAAATTCCTAATCAATATAATACAGATTATCATAATTATTGTTGCTATTTTTTTTATAGAACCCCATCATTCTGAGCATTGTTTTCTTTTCTTTTCTTCTTTTTTTTTTTTTTTAGCTGAGCCATCCTGCCACCTGTTGGCAGCTCAGTGGCAGCTCAGCTCGGGCCAGGAATTGAACCGACGACCCTGTTGCTCAGAGCTCACACTCTTGAGCGAGCTCTTAACCAACTGAGCCACTCAGCCAGCCCTGAGCATTGTTGATAGAATGATTACTCCAAGGTAGAATATCAGACCCAACTAGGCCAATCAGATGTGTTCACACTGTAACAGTAAAAGGGGTCAACAGTGTGAGTCAGAGATGTTCAACTTGGAAAAGCATTTTTCCACAAGCCACCTCCTGACCTGGGAAGGAAGCCAGCCTGTAGTAAGGGAAAATAAAGTCGTCATACAGAAAGCAGCAAAAAGAGGGGGAGAAAGAGACAGCATGCTGAAGGATTCTTGTACCTTCTTGTTCTCGAAGCCCGTTACTCCCTTTCTTATTTTTAAACCTTCCTTTGAGGAGATGAGACAACCCAGTCCTTCCTATGAGCACTAATTTACATTCAAGCTAACTTGAAGATAATCTACCACTTTAAACTGAAAGAATCTTGATGAATGCATTTTTGTACATATCTGTACATTTAAAAGTTCCCTCCCCTTTTTAGACCTGAGTATTATCTTAGATAAAATTGATATTCTTATCAGAAAATATCTATGCAATATAAATCTTAAGTCATTTTAGGAATAAATTTGATTCCTCTGCTAAATTTCTATCTAGCTGAAAGAGATCTTGAGGTATCAATTCAAGATGTATTTATGAAATTCACCTTAAAGAATTCCTTCACTTTGAAAATTCTGGAATAGAAATGCTTCTAATTGGGCATAAATCTACAAGTTAAAAATGTGACATACTTGATCTCAATGACCATATCATATAATTAGAAGCAATATGATATTGGAAAAATAGGACAAAAAGTAATAGAGTAAACCAAGAGTCATGGTCTGAATATTGCCAGATTATCTACCTTAATTATAATCTCAGAATTTGTCTTAGCTCCACTGGAATTTTTTTAAATTTAGAGTATGTGAGTTTGAGGGGAAAAAATGTTATACATTAATTATAAAAATACCTTTAGCCAGCAAAAATATGTAAAATTGTAAAACCAAAATGAAAAGAAATATTGCTGATGCTAGATTAAAATATTGGTCTCACATTGGTCAAGTGGCCTGCAATACATGTATCCTTTAAGTATTTGTCAGTTTTTAAGTTGTTGGCCTAATGACATAGATTATTACAGTGATAGCTGTCTTACAAAATTATGGAAAGACTGAAAAATAAGGTAAAGCGTGTCATAGGTTTGATTATTCCTCCAAATAATAATTTAAAAGAACTAATTTAATTATAGAAAGGTCATCCATGAAGTAGAGATGGAATATCTATATTGAGACATAACCAAAACTCATTAACTGTTTACAAAAGATTTGTATACGACAATAAGGAAGCTATGCAGGGGGGAGGCAGAGGAAGTTGTGAGGGGATTTTAATTTTTTTGTAGATAGCAACAGAATATCAAATAACTAAACAAACTATTCAAGATAATTTGTTCATTCTCGTGCGCTCTTAACCAACTGAGCCACTCGGCTGGCCCCAATCTGTTCATTCTTAAAGCCTGACTCAATAAATTGTGAAAGTTATGCTATTAGGCAAGTTGCTTGATGGATTAAAACGTTCATGTATTCTTTCCAGTAGTCATTTTTAAAAGGTAGGGTGTTCTTCCAATTTTTTTCCACAAGAAATCAAACATTACATTATATCAGATCTTGTAGTTTCCTAAAGTATAAGAGCTATCAAGGGTTAGCTAAACCAGGGAATATACAAAAAAGTGAGATGTAAAGATGTCATTAGGCATCAACTAATTCACACACATACATCTTTTTCTCAAGCTCTACATATCACATCACTGCATCAGATCAAAGGTATCAGCCTGATTCTTCAATGAGATGACACTTGGTGACAAAGACTATAGGCAGCAGAGAATAATGATATTAAAAATTTGTCCATAATCATAGAGGGAACCAATTGAATATATAATCAAAATATGTACAAAACTCTAAAGTAGAATACACTTAATTAAATACAACTAGGAAGATTGCCTTCTAGGGAGAGAAAGGAACTTACTCAAGGTTTGAAAAAAGTTTTTCAAGAAGCAAGATGGTTATCAAAATTGAGTTTATGGTCAAGAGGCAGCATTCAGACATAAAGAACTTATCAGGAAGAGAAGACCCTGAAATTGAAAAATACTTTTTCTTGGACTATGGCCCATGTTATGGGACAAGGAGCTACAGTTATTCTTAATTCTATCTTCAGTAAATGATTTCATGTATATTTACTACTGAAATCTCTGAAGTGTAAAGCGATCCTCCATTATGTTTCAATGAGTACTTTCCATCCTTCTAAAAAACTTTAAAACGCATTTGTTTGAAATGAGTAATGCTGTCTTTAATGTACTGAAGTACAATTTTATCATATTGGGCTTTATCATAGAGCAATTGTTCAATTCTGATTTCCATCATGATTCCAAGAACTTGGAGAAAATAGAAAGGAAACCAAGGATGAATAATTCAGCAAATCATAGAAACTTGTGTTATTGAGATTCATACTGCAATTTTTCCCTGAGAGTCATAGATAGAGGCAGAGATAGATGCCAAAGAGGAAGAGATAGGGAAAAATTCTTTCGGTTGGAATATTTTAACATGGTAGATAAGATAAAATTTTTTCAGTAGGGAGAGGCAGGTGAATTAGGGAGCAGCAATGAGTGAGGTCTGTTGTCTGTCTAATTAACTTTGCTCCAAGTAGCTTGGAGAGTGGTAATCTCAACGGAAGACATGATTGAGCAGGAACAGGAAGCATGTGGGAATATAAAACTAAGCTCCATGGAGTGGGCAGGCCAAAGTCTTATAACATAGGCAAGCAAAGGATCTCATGTAACTAAAGTGTCTCCTCTAGTGCTCAGTCAACTTGAATAAACTATCAATAAGAACTATTTCATAAGAACCATTGCCCAATGCTTCTAAAACAATGAATTATGAAATGTGCCTACATTCTGTTTCTTTCGAAACAATTGAGAAATCAAAAAGAAGAAATGCTAAGCAGTTGAGTAATGCCACTTAAAAAAAAAAACTTAGATTAAATGGGGGGGAAGAATGCGAACTTTTGAATTTGTGAATTCCCTAACTTACTTTACAATTTTTGAAGACACCATTAAGAATATCAACAGCCATTTTAGTCTTGAAATTACATTCAGGAAAAAAAAAAGTTGTCTTGTAAATGCTCAAATGAAAATTTCTTGCATGACTTTTAATTGATTGCACTGGAATTTTTTTTACTAAAGTCGTGATTATATAGAAGATAAGAGAAGTCTGCAGTTTATAGGAAGACTAGCACTAATAGTCCATGTAATAATGAGAAAGAGAAACTTAGGTCAACATAAAATATCATCACACACTTTTAGAGTAATGTAACTGTAGTGGAAAGTAGGTCCCTGAACCTTGGTAACCTCCCTGTTGGGAAAGTACCAGTGGGTAGTTGAATAATCATATCCTTGCCTGAAGAGTAAGTCTTGTCTAACCAGTTGTCAGTGCTTGGCAAACACAATGTATGGATAATTGCTTCCTTGTAGGATTGTGTAGCCTGGGGTAGCCCATCTTTTTCTTGCCAAATCTACTTTTTGTGCTAATAGCCCACCAAACACACAGCTTTAGAACCTTCCTCTTCACCTAGGTCAATGCTGGCTCTGCCAGTGCGCTGGGGTCAGGAATGCTTAGTCATTTGGACATAATCTCTCCTAAAGAGTTCCTATGGCCTAGAGCAGCTAGAAAGGTCAATGCTCCTGAAAAAAAAAATGCTATGATTTTTCTTGAGATCAGTTCTCAGTTTTATCATAATATGTTCCATAATATGTTTATCATAAGGGATGCATAATATGAGTCCCTCGGGCTCACTTTAGAAGGGGTAGACGTTTGCTTTTACTGTAGCTAATGAATCTTTAGCATGTTGATAGTATTCAATGAATGTCAGCATTGATATGATCAGTGATAAGAATCTAATTATAAAATAAACTTGATTAATGTTGCCCTTTTTGGGGACTCATCATAATTCAATGAATCTATAGCCCGAAATGACTCACTTAGCAGTTTGAAAATGCTGACAACTTGTAATCTGGGAAATGTCACAAGGCATTATCATAAAGATATTATGGTATTAAAAAATCAGTCTTTCCAACTGGGTGATGATTCGCAAATTCATTAGTAGAAGCAGAAATCACTTTATATTACGAAACCAAATATCCGCTCTCTGGGGCCTTCTGTAAGGGTGTACCTGGAGATCCTGACTCACCGGTGGCAGAAAAACATAACAAAACAATGGCCACTCTGATGAATTCCGGTTCACAAGATATGATTCTATAGGCATTATCTGACTTTCATAACTACTATTTTATATTTTTAAAAAATGAAAGTGATTATCAGAAAGAAAGATGCAGTCATTTACACAAAGTCTCGTGACTGGTAAGTGGCCAGCCTGGCACTGGAACCCATCCTGAAAGGCTGCGCTCTCTCCCACCACACCCATGTGAGGTATTCTGGAGTGTGTGTGTTCCTTTATCCACCTAGTCAGAGAAACTCAGGGAGCTACTGTTTGGGGTCATATAGGTTCCCTTGTAATAATACATATACCATTGGTAATAGCAGTGCTTTTTGTGGCTGTGTTATGTAGTATATCTACCAGCATCCCCTTTTTCACCCTAAATGATATTGGCATATGACATTCTTGTGTTTATGTAATTTAATGAGAATAAATTCCCATACAAATGCACAATCCAAGCCACACATTTTCCCCTGTTATTAAAACAACTTTCCCTTGAATTTAAAAATCATAGGAAAGTTATAAAGAAGAAAATCAATATCACAATCTATGGTACAGTGGTAACAACTCTGCAAGTACTGCTTAAGAGCACTATGGATTTTTTTCACACGCATGTTACTTTAAAGTGAAAATTGGATCGTCTTAACATACACTGTTTTACCTTCCCCTGATACTTTATATATCATGAACGTCTTCTTATATTACTGGGATTTTGTGCTATCAAATGCTGAGAAGATTGTATTTTACCTCATGTTCCATTTTTACAGTGACATACATCAATTCATACTTGCCATTTTCTAGCAAACACATGTGCCCCAAACCACAACTTATAGAGATATAAGAAAAGGAGATCACAGAAAAAGGACGAAGTGAGAGAGACTTTGTATAACTTATCAGTGTATGTGTGTATGAGTACTGACATGGCCGCTCTATTTTGATGCAACATAAATTTCCCGGATACTGAATACTGTCAGATATTTTGCTAAATGTAACTTCTCACTGCCACAGTAGACTAACCCAAACAGAAAGAAATGTTAATTAGACAGAGGTAACGTGCCAAATTTTCAGATTCATTGTAATTTGGAAAGGAAAATTAATTTGTAGAATATATTAATGTGACTGAATGGTTGAAAATACCCATCTATTTGACGGGATCTTTTTCCTGCGGTATCGTAGCATTCATTAAACACTAAATTATGTCTATTGTAGTCACAGACCAGCCCAATCAGAAGCTCTACTGTTCCCTTAGCCAACAGCCCATCCCCTAGAGCTGGAATGAACCCAAAGTGGCACTTCTGGTTAGGGATTTCACAATCCCTATGGAATTGATGAAGATAAAAAGAGAAAGGAGATGAAAGCATGTCCCATGGCAATACTTAATAAAAGTAGGGTGCAGATATTCATTAATTTTATTAATTCATTCACTCATTCAACATTTATTGAGCACCTACTTTGATTCAACAACTAGTTTACAGTGTGGCAGGCATGTGGGTGTGTGTATACGCATGTATGCGTAGAGAGTAAACATGCAAATGAATAAATTAAAAACTATTATCAACATGTAATACACTTCAGACTTATTTTCCTTAAGCTATTTACATGATGCTTGTGTTCTTAAAGTTCTTAGATTATTTTTGTGTGGTACAAGTGTTCTTAAAACATTGGATGGAATTTTAATCAAGTTTACATCAAATATACTCTGCAACATTTTAAATATTGTCTTCAAATAGTGATTTTAGACTCTCTCTGCCTCTACTTATCCCTCATGCATTTATTAAGAATCAATTGTGATTTACATAAGGATAAACTTACCTTCCAAATGGAAAGACACAAATGTCAAGAGGACCACGGACAGAGGATTAGCCTCTATGACGTAGGTGCAATTCATGTTGTTGTCATATTGCTTTGGGTAGTTTGGAGAAATGATGTAACCTGAAGGCTTACTGAAATTACCTCCACATCCTATGCAGGAAGAAAAAGGCATTATCACAACATTTGCTCTCACATACAGCATCTTTTTATCAGTGAGGGAAAAATTCAAATTTCCTAAATTCCATATACATAATTCCTGAGGTACTCCAAATGGAAGAAACAATAACTAAAAGAATAGAGCTCTCATTTAAAAATAAACAAATATAAATGGGGTCAAAAATATGGTGATGGAAGAATTGACTCTGGGTGGTGAACACATAATGTGATATATAGATGATATGTTACAGAATTGTACACCTGAAACCCATGTAACTTGACTAACCATTGTCACCATAATAAACTTTAATTTAAAAAAATGATAAAAAATATAAAATGATAACATTATATGATAACATATGATAATATTTTTTAAATGCTATAGGGTTTTGAGCTAAGTAATAGAAAACTTACCACAAATTGACTGTAAATCACTTAATTTTAAGATATTAAAGGATAATATAGCAAAGATTTAATATGGCTCATATAGATAAATAAAACTAGTGAAAAGTGATTTGTACTTGATTGGTATATCTATGTTTTCTTTAAAGATTTTTTTTAAAAATGTAACTAACATAGAATATTATATTAGTTTCAGGTGTACATCATAGTTGTTCAACATTTATATACTAAAGAAGTGATCACCATGATAAGTCCAGCAACCATCTGACACCATACTATGCTATCACAATATTATTGACTGTATTCCTTGAGCTGCACATTATATCCCCATGACTTCTTTGTTTTATACCTAGAAATTTGAACCTCTTGTTTCTCTTCCCCTTTACCCTTTTTTTTTAAGATTTTTTATTGGGGAATTGGGGGAAGGAACAGCATTGGGGAATCGGGAAAGGGGAACAGACAAGTTGCTGTCCTTTTGTTCTTCAGTCTAGTTGTGGAGGACGTCACTTCACTGGCCCATGTTGGTATTTGCACTCTTCCCAGCGGAGGCAGATCAGTCACCCACCATTGGATGGCTGCTCACGGCGGCTCTTGGCAGCTCACGCTGGCTGCCGGCCACTCACAGTAGCTCATGGCAGCCCACTGCAGCCCCACTGCAGCCTATGCCATCGCCAGCGACTCATGGCAGCCCAGCTCCAGGTCAAGCTGTTGTTCACCATCTTAGCTGTAGAGGGCGCAGTGTCACTGGCCCATGCGGGATCCGAACTGGCAGCCCTGATGCTCAGAGCTCGCACTCCCAAACTAACTCTTAACTAATGAGCCACTCAGCCGGCCCACCTTTACCCTTTTAATTTTTCAATAATATTGATAATAAATCAAAATTATTTATATCAATTTCAGGTATACCAACAGAAACTTTGCAGGCCAGAAGGAATTGGCACAAAATACTGAAAGTGATAAAAAACTAGGACCTACAACCAAGACTACTCTACCCAGCAAGGCTATCATTTAGAATCGAAGGACAGATAAAGAGCTTCCCAGACAAGAAAACGCTAAAGGAGTTCATCACCACCAAACCAGTATTACAAGGAATATTAGCGGGACTTCTATAATGGTTTTAAAAAGCTTATTATATTATTAGAAAACTATATTATTTCCATTACCATTGTAATCTGACCATAGAAACAATACCTACTTTTTAAAAAAATGGTTGAATATACTAATCCCAACTCTTATCAAATTTTCACGATTCCCTGATGTCAGAAATAGAACTATATTTTTACCACTAACATGACATTTGTTTCCATATAACCACTAACTAGCTAATCCACATCCCTCACTGATCTACGATATATGAAAATATCAGTATCCTTTTAAACTGATATTAAAGCACACACACACACACACACACACACACACACACACACACACACACACACACACACAGAACCAAGTGAAGGCCTAAAGCTAGGTCTGGGGCTGTCTTTCATTACTTCCTTTATACTACTGTCATTCTTCTATTCATGTCTCAGATATCAGTTCACTGCATTATTTCCTCTAATTCCTTTCACCAAATTTTTTCCTAAACAGTGATTTGTAGTTAGTAGCTACTGGATTCAATTCAGCCAACAGGCACACACCATTGCTTCTCAGGCTTAAAAACTGCACCATTTCTCACTAACCAAACTGGTGAGTAGTAATGAGAAGGGAGAATTCTGACGAAAGTGGCTCCCAAAGTTTTGGCCACCAGGACCATCTGGGTGAGAGTGAAAACAGACCAGACCTCACCCATGGAAATTCTGAATTCAGATGATTGGGTGGCCCGAGAATCAGCATGTTTTTAAAGCTCCAGGTGATTTTGGTTCAGGTAGTCAATGTGCTACAGGCCAGGTACCCGGTGGTTTACTAATTACTGGCCTCCTGCCAAATTCCTGCCCACTCCAGATTTTAGGGTTATTTTTAGATATCCTAGTGGTACTCAGGCCTTTTACATAATTTCTCAATTGATCCAGTTGAATGGAACTTTTTAAAGGAAGGACATACTCTCAGGATTAGGTGACCCACCCATGCTCTGCCCCTTGGGTCCCCAGTCCTGGCCAACCCCGGTGCAGCCCCGCTCTTCCCCAAGCCCATCTGTGGCAGCCACACCCATTCAAGGATGTCTAAGTTGTTTTTTAGTGCTACTTACGGCTTACAAAGGATGCAGAGAAGCCCTGAGCGGGGGCGTCCTGAGACTGGAACACGGCGGTGAACGCGTTTCTTGGTGTGGTGATGGCACCAGGAGCCACGTTCCCACAGCCTGTGGCTAACAGGGCTTTGTCCGCCTCCTCAGTTCCTGCCCACACCTAGGACAGACACAAACATGACCTAATGCTCAAGGTTTGCCCCTGTCAATATGCTTAGGCTGCAGAATAATGGGACTCAGGTGTACACAGACCTAAACATAATAGTAAACATAATACATGCAAATCTGCAATATTATCTTTTAAGAATAATATTTTTAAGTTTATTTTTATGTAGCTATGTGTAATTTAAAAACAAAAGCAATCACTACCCAGTTTCCTCTTATCTTCTCCTAGTTGACCTGATGTAGTTGAGCTTGCTAAGTGCTGAGAGAGAGAGAGAGAGAGAGAGAGAGAGAGAGAGAGAGAGAGAGAGAGAGAGAACAGCCATGTGTGGTACTGGTACTGTGGGGCTTACCAATTGTCCTGAGTGGATGGCAAGTTGTGGGTTGCAAGTAGAAAATATTACTAAAGCAAGAAGCATATGGAAATTAATATCTTCGTGGAGCATGAAGAAAGTAGGCATGAATTCCAAGTATATGTGTAAATGGCCTAAGTTGGAATAAATTGGAGAAGGCCATGTTGAATATTAAGGTTCATGTGGCAGCAAGGATGGGATGCATCACTAGTGCAATAACTCACTAAGCAGCGGTTCTCAACCTGTGGGTCGTGACCCCTTTGGGGGTCGAATGACCCTTGCACAGGGGTCGCCTAAGACCATAGGAAAACAAAAAGATATTTACATTACGATTCATAACAGTAGCAAAATTACAGTTATAGAGTAGCAACGAAAATAATTTTATGGCTGGGGGTCACCACAACATGAGGAGCTGTATTAAGGGGTCACGGCATTAGGAAGGTTGAGAACCGCTGCACTAAAGCCTGGCTGGGCAACTCCCAGATGGGCCTGGTCTGACAGTTCATTGGTGTGGCCACTTTAAAAGATATAACCAATATTTTCATTTGAAACATAGTTGCTAAGGAGTACATTGTGAGCATCAAAATTCCAAATCAAGGCAAACCCTAACCAGACTAGTGAAGAACATGAATTGGAGAATCAGAGATTGAAATGCAAACTTCCAACCTTGAAAGGTGCTGTAATGGAGCTGTCGAGTTTCTAACACGGGGCTTTACCTGCCTTGGAGTGGTGAGCCTGCCTAAGGAGCCCCGTGGCAGGAAGGGGAACGTCTCGTTCCAAGAACAGAGAAACTGAGTAAGGTGTGAGGGGTGACTGCAGAGACCCGCAGGCCATCCAGGGCACGTTAGAGATCTGGGCTGCTGTCTGAAAATGGCAAGGAACCCCTGGGAAGCCTAAGGTTCAATGATGCTTGGTTTTCGGAAAACATGACAATGTGAAAAGCAGGAGGAAAGGAAAGGATGCTGGGAGATTAGCCAGGAGGGTTTGGCAGCAGTTCAGGCTAGAGATCATGGGATCTAAAATGTTGATTCACTTAAGGAAAATATTGATATTAGGTAATGAATACACATTATTGGGGGAAAGGCTATTAAACGTGTTTAACCAGAGCGGATTCCCCTAGTTGAGTGAGCTTCAAATGAGAGCAATTTTGCCCTCCACAGGAGACATGTAGCGATGTCTGGAGGCATTTTTGGTGGTCACATTTGGTGTGGGGCTGGCATGTGGTGAGCAGGGGCCAGAGATACTGCTATACCTCCAATGGTGCACAAAACAAGATGCCCTTCCTTAACTAATAATTAATTATCCAGCCCAAGAGGGCAAGGAAGTAATTGGGTTTGCATTAATCTTCTTTGACTACTCAACAGTTTCTTCACATTCTAAAAAATTACTCATTTGAACATTATCACCTTCAGGGATATTTCTCAAACAAAGCAATAAAACATCAAGCCATTAAAAACATTCCTATTGGCAAATCTGTCCATAGGAAGGGGTGTGAAATAGCACTGGTTTCATAGCACTGATTTAATATTTCTCAGTTCTGTAAAGCCGTATCATTTCAATGGACTGTCAAACACTGGCAAGCAGCTGTTAGTCATCTTATTAAATTCAAATTATACTTCCACTCATTAGATATAGGAGGTGCCTGGCACTGGAGCTACTGAGATAAAAAACACAGATATTCTACCAATATCTAAGGTAAAAAATGTGTCAGGAAAGAAATGCACACTACCAATTTTCTCTAATACTCCCTGTATTTTTCCCCCCTTAACTATCCAGCAAAACAGAACACAGACGTTTTCTACCAACATCTTGTAAAATGATAAACATGATTTACTGATATTGCATAGACTATTTTTGCAAACATTACCAAAAGGCAAAATTATAAGAACAACGAAAAACTTTTAATAAGGAATCCCAAGTTTTTTAATAAAGAACTTTAAGAATCCTCAAGTGTTTATACCAGCGGTTCTCAACCTTTCACAGGGGTCACCTAAGACCATCTGAAAACACATATTTTCGATGGTCTTAGGAACCGAGACACCGCTCCTCTATCCGTCTCCAGGCCCACATGCAGATACGCCCACATGCAGATACGCCCACATGCAGATACGCCCACATACGAGTACCCGGCGACCCCTGTGAAAGGGTCGTTCAACCCCCAAAGGGGTCGCGACCCACAGGTTGAGAACCGCTGGTTTATACGTTTCTGAAGCCATTAATTATGGATCTGGCTGCTGCACCTTTTGGCCCAAGAATGTTAAGTGTTGTAATGATAAGAATGATAGAGTTATTAAGTATTCATTGATGCCTTGTCAGTCAAGAACTCATGTCATTGGCTATATGACCCAGGACTCATAGAACTACATGGGGTCTACAAATTGGTACAAAATTGTCATCAGGTCAAAAACTTTCTGACTTCTCTTAAGATTTTGTATAATTCAGCCTGGCTTCATATGACATTTTATCATTCAAGTAATTTTAAAAAAATAAATGTTTGAGAGAACCGCAGATTCACATGCGGTTGGTTGTAAGATGTAATGTAGAGAAGTCCCGAACACATTTCCCAGTTTCCCCCAACAAAGGTATCTTGCAAAACTATAGTACAATATTATAACTGGGATACCGAGATCGATACAATCCAGTAGTCTTGCTCAATTCCCCACTTTTACTTGTACTCATGAGTGTGCATGTATTCACTTATTTACAAGTGAAAAGCCACCATATTCAACATACTGACCAGTTCCAACACTAAAAGGATCTTTAGAGGAGACTTTTTGTAACCACACAATTGCCATCTGCATCCCTGGCTCTCTGACCTCTGGTTGTCTGTCCTTTTAAAATACTGTCATTTAAAAAATGTTATATAAATGAAACAACAGATTATGCAACCTTTTGGGCATTTTTTTTTTCACTTGGCAAAACTCCCTGGTGATTTGTCCAAACTGTACATCTGTCAATAATCCGTTTTTATGGAGGAGTTGTATTGTGTGGTTTGTATGCACTAGAGCTCATTTAAGCATTCACCTGTTGAAAGACATTTGCACTGATTCCAGTTTGGGGACATTACCAATAAAGCAGCTATAAACATTAATATACAGGTTTTTGTGTAGACATATCTGCATTACTCTGGGATAAATGCCCCACAGTGCAATTGTTGGATCTTATGGTAAGTGCATAGTTAGCTGTATAAGCAACTGCCCAACTATTTTTCAGAGTGGCTCGACCACTTTACATTCTCACTAGCAACAGATAAGTGATAACAGCTTTCTACATCCTTGCCAGGCTTTGGAGTTTGTTACCATTTTTAACTTAAGCTATTCTGATAGGTGTATAGCAATATATGATTGTGGTTTTATTCTCATTTCCCCTAACGGCTAGTGATGTTGAACATCTTTTCATATGTTTATTTACCATCCATATACGCTCTTTGGTGAATGATCTTCATATCTTTTGCCCATATTCTGCTTGGATTCTTTGTGTTTTTCCTGTTGGGTTTGAGAGTTGTGTATATATTCTAGACAGCAGTCTGTGGTCAGATACATGGTTTGTAAATCGTTTTTGCCCAGTCTGTCGCTTGTCTTTCAAACCTCTTCACAGAGGTGTCCACAGAACAAAAGATTTTTCATTTTGATGAAATGAAATGTATTCATTTTTCCTTTTATGGATCATTCTTTTGATGTTTAGTCTAAGGACTTTTCATCTATTACTCTGTCCTAAGGAAAACAGAAATATTTTTCCCCCTAAAAGTTTATAGCTATACATTTTACATTTTGGTCTATGGTCTATTTTGAGTTAAGTTTTATACAGGGTGCGAGGTTTAAGTTGGCTGTAGCTGGTCCCTCTTGTTGGTTCTGCCCACCGACTTTAGGATCTCTTGTCAGAAATGGGATCTCGGGCCAGCAGGGACAAGAGCGCTTCCCCAGGCCACTGAGCATGGGCGGGACTCTGATCTGACCCCCACCTGCCAGTCGTGTTGACTTTGCCTGATGTCAGAGGGACTCTTGTTCGATCCACAGGAAAAACAGGCTGAAGTAATTTTTCAGATTCCATTCTTATAACTGAAGAACTTGCAAAGCTTTAGTTACATCTATACATTGGATGTTGACTCAGTCCATGGGGGGCGGGGGGGAGAGGTTCATTTGTTTTATGAAAAAAGCAATTAGCAAAAGTGTATGTTAAATGTGTTTTATTATACACATATTTTATATACGTATGGGGTGTTTATCTAAACGGTAAGCACAGATCAATTAGTTCTAAAACATAATTTGAGAGATGATGTAAAACAGTGATAACATGGACAATAAAAGCCACTTTTATTCATTCAGGTGGTTTCATATTCCCAGTACTGAACACTATGTTATTATATCAGATTACCTCTAATGCTTAAAACAATCCCACCAAAGTAGGAACTGTTCTCTTTATTTTATGGTTCAGTAATTTAAAGTCCAAATGTTCAATGAGCTCACAGAGGAGCAGGTAGGTGGCAAATGCAAGCAACACGACTGGAGCCCAGTCGTGAACTGAAGGCTGGTATTCTTTCCATGGGAAGGGGTAGCCTCTTAGAGATAAAACATGAGGTGAAAATGAGCACAGATGGGATGAATTTACAACACAGCCATCGTGCTCGTAAGTCCATGAAATGGGAGGCCAGTGCTGCGTGAGCAGTATTTGTAACTTTTGAGAAAAAGAATGTAACGGACTGCCCCGCTGCCATCATTTTACATGGGTCTCTCGTGGTCTTTTCAGCATGTGGGCTCTGAAGGCCAAGGTGAAGGCTGCACTAGCCATTTCTCTAGCCTTCTTTACATTTTACAGCACACTTCAAATGTTGCTTTTAATGGTGCCTTACATTCATTTTGTCCCAGAGGATCTATGAGATGGAGGGAGGGAGAAAGGAACAACAGAGGGAGGGAGAGAGGAAGGGGGAGAGAGAGAAAGAGAGGAAGGAAGGAAGGAAGGAAAGAAGGAAGGAAGAAAAAAAAATCTGGTCTTCTCTCTTTAGTTTCTACAGAAAGGAAGAACCACCAATGCTCATGAGAATTTAAGAAGGCCAGAAAACCATCTCCTTCATTAGGCTACTTTGCCTATGTATCAGCAAATGAAGTTACATGGCAATGTGTGTTGTGGTTCAGATCGTAACCCCGAATAGTTGAGGTTTTTCTTTTATTTCTTTTTTTTATTCAAGAAATCCAAGCAGCAAAATTGTCCTTTTTTTACTTTGAGACGCAATGAGTCATTTCTAGTGTAAACATTTACGTTGCCAAAAGCAGTTCGCCTCTGATTAAATAAACAAGCCCACTGACCTTCACAAAGCTGCCCTGGCACTGTCCGTCCCCACTGGGGATGAGGAAGTTGCGGTCAAAGGTGATCTCCAAGTGATTACTTCCGTGCGTAATGACCGTCCAGGAACACTGGCTGTTCTCGGGGAAATTCTGCGGCCAGTGAGGGGATCGGATTGTACCGTTATCTGAGTGAAGTATTCCACCACAACCTTAAAAATCATCATGAAAAAAAGTCCTTAATTCGCAAGGAAAGCAACAATTCTGGTAACCTAAGACTTCTCAAGGAGACACATTTCTAAATGTGAGATTTCTGTTCATCTTTCCTCACACATGAATCACTGCTCTTCGGAGCACGTTTACCACAAGAACTCTCCATATATGTAAGGTGCACGGAATCCACAAGAAGCTTCCGCTGTTACTGTTTTGTTACACCTGTATGAGCTCACCTGGGAACACTAAAACCCGTCACAAAGAGGCTGCTATTCTGTCTTCAAACAATACGTTTCACTCCCCTAGAGGCTCTACAATATTTGTGGCCCAGCAATCCCAAATTCTGTATTTTCTTACCAGCAACACACAAGAACACAAGTCTATACTCATTTGTAATTTTATTCTGACATACAAGACAGGACTAGGGAAAATGCTTTTGAAGAGAGGAAAATTCTTCCACTAAGCACCCTGGTTCATTTATATTAAACATGGATGGATGAAAATAAATTACATGGATTGACATAAAGAAAAATCTAGAATTATTTTATACAATTGAAATACGTATTTAAGACATGACAAAAGAAAAAAGTACAAACTCAAGACAAAAACGAAGTCAAATTAAGGAGCATTCCCTATATCTTTTGCTTTTAAACCCTTGGAAAACCAGTGGTTCACCTAAAACATCCCTCTGACTTCAACAGCAGTCAGTAGTTTGATGAGGGAAAGTTTGACTCATTCCATAACAATCTTCAGAATAACTTTGACTCTACTAGAATTGCCTTGTATGGGTGACATTGCAAGGCATTAAAGAAATCCTGACTCAAGTATCAGATGCAAGTTCTTATATTTTCTTGGAATTTCCATGAAGTTTATACTTTATATGCATAAAAGCTGTCTTCTGAAATCAAATCTACGATAATTTGCCCCATACTCCAGGCAAAGCATTCATTTTACATCACACATCTTATCTTGTTGCTTTGCTGCTCAACACTTTTCAGTGGCTCCCAGTTGCCTAAGGGACAATATGGAAGCCAAAGCTCTTCACGATGTGGACCGCTTCTCTTCCTACCCTCAGCTCACAGCTCAGCTGTCAGCCTCCATGCTCTGAATATGTCAAATCACTTATGATTCCAACACATCTTTTCTTGTTGTTCCCTGGTTGTCCCTTGCCTTTTTGCCTATGGAGGCAGCAGGGTGATGTGTTCTGATTAAAGTTTCTGGGCTCCACTGTCTTTATTCAAATCCTGACTCTACTGATTATTAGCTATACCATTATTAGCGACATGACCTGGGAAAAATATCAACCCAGGTATCCCTAAGCTTCTGCCTACACAAAATGGAGAACACATGTACCCATAATGTGTCTTTCTTACAGGGTTGCGATATCAGGTGACACATGGAAACATTATAATTGAGTCTGACAAGAGAGTGGATACAAAATGCACACCTGTTGAATTAGTTAATACATTTTAAGAATACCTCAATGAAAAAAAGAGAATAAGTGTAGAGAATGTTTCTTTTACCTAAAGTTTGTGTGCTCCATGTAGCATAAAAGCCACCATTTTGCACATCATGGTCCGAGTTAAAAATCACCACCAGCTGGTTAGAACCAGACTGTATCGGCCTGGGGTTTGACCTTCCACAGTATTGTCCTATTATGGGTGAACCAGGGGAGCCACCATTTCTGACAGTGACAGAGTCCCAAGAACAGGTTGCATGGTCTTCAATGTCAAAGTCATTAAACGTAAGCTGCGGGAGAAAAAAGAAGTAATGAGGCACTCCGAGATGTAAGTGAGCTTATCTATCTAAAGTTAGATGAGATCCTCACAAACAGCTTTTATTTTGTTTTAATTTATATGATTTTGTATTTATGTCTCCTATTTCATTCTCCCCTGCCCTCCTATCTTTGTTCTTATTGAAGTTCCTTCCAGGAAATGGTGAAAGGGGATATTTCTCTCCAAACGGAAGTCATTCAGGGGACTTCCACAGTCCCCTGAGCTGGGATGGCAACTCATATCAAGAACATGCATACACATTTCTTCTGGATGGGAAATTACCTTCTTTACATAGCTTCTCCTATGCTTGAAAAAGAAAGGGCATTCTTCATTAATTGTAAACTTATATATGTCATTATATTCTTCATTAATTGTAAACTTATATATGTCAATATATGTATTCTAATGAGGAAATTTTAGGGAGGAAATGATCTAGTCACAAGATCAAAGCCTAATACTTGCTAATGTAAAGAATTCTGTTCCTACACAGGACGTGATATTGTAGTTCTATAGTCTCGAAAGTATGTTACTCAGTCATCAGAACTCACAGTGATAGTGTGGCCTGGTGGCGCTTCCAGCAGCCAAGCACAGTGGGTCAAGCTGTCATACGAGGCTGGATAGTTGGGGCTTGTGATCACTCCACTCTCACCCATCTGTATTCCACCGCAGCCTGAAAGCAGATTTGGAAGCTTCCAAATAAGATAAGTTGGGGGGAGGGGGGGAACCCTGCCAAGTCGAAGTATGTAGTACTTACAGCTGTCCTGTTTTATGACTTCAATAATACAATAAATGAATAAATAGATGACATTGGATCAAAGCAAAGTAAAACTGGGTGGGAGATTAGAAATAAAGAGAATCCCATACACAGAATCACATAGTAAAAACAGGCTCAAGTTTAGTACAAATGAGAAGGAAGATATTCTACTATAAGTGGAGAATAATTATAACTGTATAACTGAGAGTAAATACACTAGGGACAAAATAAATAACATTGCCTTTCTTGAAAAACCCAGGCCAGTGAAAATAAATATAAGCTTGAAGAATATGATCAGTACCATAACTAAACACTATGTCACTTGATAATAAGTATATATGTGTGTAGTCAGCTGTCAAGTTGAGAAACAGATACACATCTAAAGCATAGTATGGTATGATGTTTCACACAAATAATATTACTTCCTTAAGTCTCATTCCTTTTTTTTTTTTTCGTCAAATTAAAAAAAAAATCAACTGGCAAGATGCTTGATTGACTTAGATAATCAATCTCACGCCTCCCGAGCAACCATTTGATTATAACACAAAAAAATCTTAGATAAAACTATAACCCAAACATATTTTGATTCATAGCCAAACTGAATGAAAAAAAGAACTCCCAAATCAACAAATAAGTATACTCAATAAGTATACTCAAATTCTGAGGGGTAATCTCAGACTGAAAGTATGTTAGTCTGAGAGGAAATAGAACAAAGATGTGGGCCCCAGGGGTTGGGGTCTAAGGTTTGGATGAACCAGACAGAAAGAGCATATATGGCCTTGGACCTCCCACAAAAGGCAGGGCTGAAATTGAGACTTTTTCATGATGTCAGGAATCTAGGACTGCCATGCTAGTAATAAGGGGCTAGAAAAACTTCAACAGCCCAGAGAAGCAGCGAAGAGTAGCGCTGCCTGTCTCGGGCTAAATTTTAGGCACAAATGGAATGTCACAGATGTAAATCTGACACAAAATGTTATCAAATAATATTCAGTAATTTGTTCAAAACATACATACATCATGACCAAGTAGAGGTTATCCTGGAAATTAAAGACTGGTTGAACAAGAAGAAAATCTTTCAATATAATTTATCACATTAACATATTAAAGGAGGAAAAAATAAGATCATCTCAATAGATACAGAAAAATTATTTGATAAAATTTTCCAGGAAAAAACATTTTGTACACTAAGAATTTAAGGGACATCCTTTAATCTGATAAGGAGTATTTATTGAAAATCTAACAGCAACCAATGTATTTAACAATGAAATGTAATAGGCATTCACATTAAGGTCAGAAACAAGATGCTATCATCCCTTTTATTCGACATTATACTGGTGGCTTAGCTAGTGAGATAAGAAAAAGAAAAAAAAGCACTATCATTTGCAGAAGATATGGCTGTTTAAAAAGAAAAACCAAAGACAATCTATTGACAAAATACTAACACTAATGAGACTATAGCAAGATCTCTGGACTAAATATCAATAAAAAAAACCTTAAATTCCTAGGTATCAGCAAAAACCAATCAGAGAATGCAATTTAAAATGTCTTATTGACATCAGCAGCAAAACCAATAGCTACTTAAAAATAAATCTAACAAAATATATGTGCAATCTTCATGAAAAACATTATGACATTTTATCTATTATTTTATTGCCAGAGTTTGAGCTTAATCATAAGTCTTACCTGTAAAGGAATACTCTGCATGGAATCCAATATGTTCTACACGTTCGTTGGTGACAAAGTGTATCCATACCTGAGAATAAGGAATAACCAATGGCATCCTAGGGGTTGAAGGTCCACACAATCTCCATATCAGAGGCCCATCAGCATTACCTGAACAAAATAACACACTGATACTGAGTGTCATTATTTATATAGCTTTTGAGAAATATAGTCAATGAATTCAATAGGAATCAGTAATAAAAAGCATTTCAAGTTATTCATTGACATACATTTAAATTCTGCTTTAATAGCAGACATTTCACAAATTTCCTCTCCATCTTTGTCAACCACAAAACAAAGAAGCCCCCCAACAGGGTAAAAAATAAGTTAAAAAAAATGCTCTTTTTTTTTTTTGGTCTGGGCCTCTTTCTCTATTGTAGGTGCCCTTTTGTTCCAATTTGTATTTTCATAATTATTTTAGCATATCTAAACAGAGATAAAACACATTTTTTAAAAAAGCTTTTGAATGTGTCTCTTTTTTCAGGGAGTAAGAAATATAATACCACAGGGAAAAAATTTATCATCAAGATAAATGTGATAAGACCTAACATTTTGATGATTTCTTCACTGTATTTAATCAACTAAAACAAATGGGAAATTCAGTACTCAGGCCAAGAACTATCAGATTTGGAACTGAGTATTTTTACGAAGATTATTTTCCACAGTAATTTGAGCCCACACTTATCTGCTCTCTGTTCTTTCAGTCAGACAACATTACTGATCTTATATGTCAACAAAGCATAGTATTTTAACTGTCTCTAAAATGAGGGACTAGAGAGAAGATTCACATTTAACTGACTGAAACTTGATATACAGCTGCTCTGCTGGATTCTATAAGCCATGGTCGGAGGTGGGTGGCAGTGGTGAGAGTTTATTAAAATCACATGTGGAGAACATTCTCAAACTACAACTTCCATATCCCTCATAAGCCTTCTCTAAATGTATCTACCTCAGAGTGCCCAGGTGCTTCTCCTGCTGTGGTAGTTGGTCTGTGATCTCAGACTTTATCAAATTTTCCTTCTAGAAAATTTTGTCCTCTATGTTCTCAAAGCCAGCATCGATTCATTTAGTTGCCCGAGAGCATTGCCAACAGCAAACCATGTTACCTTCTGCTGCTTTCAGCCTCCTTTTCTTTAAATTTTGTGACAACATGCAACTTGGTGAACCTTTGACAGCATAGAATCTACAATGTTACTGTGTGTCCTCATTTTTTTATATAACCAGGAAAAAAATAGTGTAATGATGGGGGCAATTTGATAGATAACCTATGTGTTGACTATAGGAACAAACTAACATGGATTCATCTTCTATGAATGAAGATGTTTTAAAAATATTAAGGGAATTATGGTTTACCAAGTATACCTCAGTCCTTTTCTATCATGAAATCAAAGACAAACTTGACTGCTCTGGGGATGATTCTTTCATTAGCTTCCATGTGCTTCTCTATCTGATGCATTCCAATTTTTTTTTTTTTTTTGCCTGCTAAGGCCTAAGTAGAAATCCACGGCCTCGTCTGTGAATCCTGAAAGTTCAGTAAACATGGACAGACATTCTGACCATTTTATGCTCTGGTCTCTGAGGCAAGGAGTCTTGAGGAGTAGATGATAATTGAAGGGACCACCTGACCTCAGCAAGAGGGCAAAGGCAAACCAGCATCTCTTCTGACAACAATTAAGACAGGGTCTAACTTTAAACACTGACCCATCTCCTTCACTATTCACAGGGCGTGTTTTCCTCAACTGGGCACAAACAGAATTATGCCTTTGTCTGAACAGCATTTTTTTGGATCTTATGTACATATATTACAACAATTTGACTGCTTTCACTGCTGGTGGTCTTCAGGCATAAGAAGAATATTGTAAATGAGAGAAGTGGTCCTTGATTGAACTTACCCACTCGGAACTCTAGGACATCAAATTGACAGTCTTGGTGACGTTCTAGGTGAAAAACGTCAAAATGAATGTAAATGGATGAATTTCCCTGATTTGGATTGCTGAGAGTCCATTCACAGTTTAGGTTTCTTGAGTAATTACTGACTCCATTATAGCCAGGAGAAGTAAAGTTTCCTTCAGGGGAATTTGTAAGGGGCCCCCCACACACTGAAAAAAACAAAAGGCAACAGAGAAAGTAGTAGTCAGATTCATGTCATAACAAAGACACAAACAGAAGAGGAAACATTGCTAAAATAACAGCAGCACATTTTTACTGCTTTGATTTGTTTTTCTAGGTGAAGTGGAGGTTGTGGGTCCAGGGCTGGCTCAGGTATGCAAACTATGGAAAAAGTTTCTGTGGGTTTAGGATGAAAAATAAACAACTTCATTTCCTTGTATACGTAGATTAGGTGGGTTGGTTTGGCTGTGTATCAACATCTCCCTATTTGAGCCTACTATTCATTAATATTTAATTTAGAGGAATATTGAAATATAATGGTGGTTCCAATGGCATCTGATTAGCAATTCTCCGCTTGAACCCAAAATTTAAATGGATGAAACAGATCATATAACTGGAGTGCCAATGAATTTTCTCCTTTAAATAGAGAATGGACACTCCTTGGATCGATAAAATAACTTAAAGGATATATATAAAGGATATATATATATATATATGAATAAATAGATATATTTATTGAGTTCATTCTTCCTAAATTTAAAAATTCTTAGATAATAACACCAATTCAGAAAGTAGGAGGATATTTAGACTAGAAAGGCCATATCTTGTTTTATTTTTAAATACTCTATGTGAAATAGGAATTCCTCATTCATTTACACTAGAAATGTGTAAAATATGTCTGTCTTCAACTAGTGTAGTTACTCTCTGGACATGAGTTACCTTCTGAGCGGTAGGTGATCTCTCAGTACAAAATAATTGATGGAGGGTGACAGGATGAGAAGCCAACCATCATGGCAACATTGCATGGAATCGAGCTAGAAGGGCTTCTAACAGCATTTTTTAAAGTTTTAATTACAATGGCCAATTTCTCTCCAAAACCAAAGGTTGTTTTGATTTGTTTTGTTTGGCATTGGTTTTCTATCTGGTTATGTATATCTGTCTTACATAGAAGTTTCTAGGTGTAACTTTGGTTACAGGAGTGAAAATAGATGGCGCTGCTATTGGCAATTGCTGTGGGAGCATCTGCGATGTGTAAGTCTTTATAACATCCTATATATATTAACCTGCATCTTCACTGGACGTGTAGGAAGCAGTGAAGCCTCCATATGGCCTGGATCCATCTGTGAAATAAATGACTTCCATTGTATTTCCTGAAGACTTGATCTCATTGCTTCCATTCACACTGCTACACAGCTTTTCAAGCTGGGGTGAGTTACTTCTAAGGCCATTGAGTACCTGTTGGGAAAAAAATGTAACCTTTAGACACGCAGTCCATCTTACTAAATATGTCCTAGGAGGTTATGCTCCCAACCCAGAAATACTTCCTTGTAAGGAAACTCAGTGCTGAAAGGAATTACTTAACAATATGGGCTCGGGCTCCTAGCCCAGTGCCACAAACCACTATGTTACCCAGAGTGCATTTTGTGGCCTCAGGGTCACTTCACTAAATGAAAATATTGTAGTAATGCCCTCCTGCCATGTGGTGACAAATGAAAAACTGCTGTACTCTTTGCAACTGGTAACTGTGCTCTAAATGTAAAGTAGATATGCCAATACGGTTACATCTTAGTTCACAACGGTTCACTGATGGGACGTTTTTCTTAACAAGGTGCCAGGACCTTTGATATTTGGAATGAAGGCTTAAATGCCAGTGTCTGACAATTTGAAGTATGTAATGACTCACATATTTTCAAAGGCCTTGAAAAGTAATTTTTAAAAAAACCAATCTCACTATCAATAGCTCTTTTCTAATTACTAATGGATTCAAGCTTCAATTTTTTATTAATTTGAACTTTTAAAAACGGATTGGAGTATTGTTGACTCCCAGAAATATTAAACAATAACTCTCATTATGCACATAGTTATAATAATTGACAAAGCATCATTTTGCTTCTGTACAAAACCAAGTGAATGCTTTAGCATGCCTGGTTTTCAGCAGTAACTAAACAATGATTGATATTCCTATTTTTAAAAAGGATTTGAATGGCTCACAATTAGAAATAATGGTTCAGAATATGACACTAAGAGCTATGGATGGGGATGTATCCATAATGAAAGATGTAAGGCTTTGATATTTACTATAATTGATCATTAAATGTAGCTCTGTGGGAGCTTCTGGTTTAAAGTGTGTTCCGGTGCACAGGACCAGACTCAGCATTTCCTATCATTTTCTAAGAGCAAACAAAATGCCAGGCTCTGCTAATAACCCACGTGGACTACCTTATTGAACTAGCAGACACATGATATTATCGCTGTTTTCCAGATGGAGACAGTAAAATTCAGAAAGATTGTGCAATGTGCTGAAGTTCAAAGAGCTAGTCATAGTAGGACTGGTATTCAAACCATCCCTCTGACTCCAGACTATGAAGTAACGCATGAGGAAACAGAAGATGACAAATATTTCAATAATACTGGAAACAGGAATGTGTAGCCACCGCCAGGATCAAAGGAGTTTTTTAGCAACTACAGGCTAATGGAACATGCTGGAAACCATGATCGATGACCTTTCTGTTTGCCCCACTGTCCGCCCTGAACTTAGAATCACAGTGACTGAAAGTTGGGCAGGCACCCATGTGCCACATGTAGTCCTGCTTTTAGAAGCAACCGGGGTGCTGCTGCCACGCCCCTCCTCCATTTCCATCTGTACTCCCAGTGACTGCAACTCCCAGAAAACGATGAGATCGGAAGGAGGCATATGAGGTTAGGACAATCTCTGAAACTTGGTATAAGCAGGAATATAATCAGGCACATGGCTCATTGGAGTGCACAAAATATAGATAGATAGATAGATAAATAGATAGATAGATAGATAGATAGATAGATAGATAGATAGATAGATAGATAGATAGATGGTATAGCTTTTCCTCTTCTCCACCAGGACAGAGTGTCAGGCAGGCAGCTGGACTTGGCGGAATTGTATGCTCAGGCCAGCAGGGTCAGGTACAGGTCTAGAAGGAGTGCACTTAAACCTGTAGGTCTTAGGAAGCCTTCCTTCCTCCCTTCCTCCCTTCCTCCTCCATTCCTCCTTCTGCCGCCTCCTCCTCCTTTTCTCTCTCTCTCTCTCTCTCTCTCTCTCTCTCTCTCTCTCTCT